GTTTTCTGTGTAAATAGTTTCGTTTAAAAACTAAAGCAACCAAGACAAACAGGCTGTGCTCCTGCGGTGACTAAACAGCTGATAACACAGCACTAAGCTTGCACACGTCGACCGGTTCCACTCGTTTTTTGTTTTTTTCAAACACCACAAAATCCTCCACCTCCTTGATTGTCATCAGGCTGTAGCCAGGCCACAGTTTCCTGTTTTCAGCCACTTTAACTGCAGTTTACATTTTACCATTTTGTCTCTCTTCCTAAAGTTTTGTTTTGACCAACACGAGCGGGTTAAATTTGGGCATTTATTTTGATCTAATGCTGATGTTAAAATCTACAACATAGTGTTTGCTTTRGTAGCAATAAACTTGTTGAGACTTTAGTCCTTTTAGATTGCTGAAAATGGTTCTTAAATGGGTTCACTTCTAAGTACCTGTCTWGACTCACCCATAAAATTTATAATTCCCAAAACTGAACCTATTGTCTAACGTAGGTAAAATACTGACTACTTGCACAAAGGTCTCATAACTCCACTTAAAAAACCTGGAACTATCCTTTTAACACTAAACATTTGCAAAAAATAAAAACAGCCCACTCCAAAAGTATTGGAACAGCAAAAATTCTCTTATTTTTGTTGTTCACATTTGGGTTTAAGATGAGCATGAGACARGAGTTCAGAATGTCAGTTTTATTTCCTGGTRTTTACATGTAGATGTGTCAAACACCTCAGAATATACCACSCTTTGTTTGAACCCATCCAATTTTCAAGTGAGTAAAACTATTGGAACATGTGACTGACAGGTGTTTCTTATTAACCAGGTGTTTCCTTTAAGGTTGATTGTTCAAACATTAAATAGCTCTGCATGACTAGTCTACTTTTTGGCCTGGGTTTGAACCTATAAAGTTTTTTATTTTTATTTTTTTGTTAAAGAGGATAAACCAACATGAAAACAAGAGAGCTGTCTGTGGGAGAAAAGCTGAGAAAAGAAGGAGAATCAATCAGAGCCACAACAGTTTGGAATGTCCTGAATAAGAAAGAAACTACTGAGCAAGACACATCCAACAGGTCAGCCAAGGAAAACAACAGTAGTTGATGACAGAAATATTGTGAGAGATGTGAAGAAAAACCCAAAAACATCAGTAAGCGACATCACCAATGACCTCCACAGTGCGGGGTAGTTATCACAATCCACTGTTCGGAGAAGACTGAGAGCAGAAAAATGGAGGCCATACACAAAGATGCAAACGACTCATCAGTAAAAAGGATCAGAGGCCAGATTGAAATTTACAAAGAGGCACAGAGATGAGCTGCAAAGATTCTGGAAGACAATCTTATGGATGGATGAGACCAAGATTAATCTCTACCAAAGTGATGAAATGGCCAAAGTGTGGAGAAAGAAAGGAACTGCTGATGATCCGAAGCACAAAAGCTCATCTGTGAAGCACGGTGCAGGTGATGCCCACATAATCATCTCACTAGGGATGTCCCGATACCACTTTTTCACTTCCGATATGATACCGATATCACAACTTTGAGAATTGTCCGATACCGATATTGACCGATATCGATATTGACCCATTACAATAACAGTACAAGTCACACACTTTTACCTATTTTGTAATGTAAAATCTTAGAAAAGTCTTGATCAGGTCAAACAGTGAAAAAGAGTAGGTTTGAGAAAAACTGACCCATTTATTTTTAACCAATGGATSACATACATTTTAAACTGAAGAACATTATACAATTTAATATAACAAATTATAATACCCTGAAAAATAAAACATAATAAAAACAAAATGTTATTTTAAAGTATAAAATAACAATTCAAAATCACTTCGGTTATTGTTTTACTACCTGTCAGCCTGGTGCTGCTTTATGGTGGAAAAAACTGAAGGTGGGGACAAAACAAAACCCCACATTATTGTCTGTTCAAAGTTAAGAGTCCACAGCTCCARTTTTACTGATTGTAACCAAAACAACGTGATCATTGCACTTAATCTTCACTCAAACAAGTGTGTAAACAGATTAAACATCACTCAAATAACAAGTGCAAAAAATAAATAGTAATTAGTCAGTTATTTAAATTGATTGCTACCTTTCTTACTGCTGCATTTTCTGAGCATCATGTGGAGATCAGCCTCTCTCTCCTGCAGGGAGCAGTTTTTATTACTGCTCTCGTCATGTCGCGCTCATATTCCAAAACAAAAGCTGCGCTCTCCTTTCTTCTGTCCRTCAAGRRCTAATCCACGGGATGTCAAAACTGTAAGCGTGCTGTCCTCGCTTCTGCCAGCTTAGAACCACCGACCGGACCAGAGAGGAGGTTCCGAAACAGCGCGGCTGTGTGCGGTCACTGGACCGAGGCTGAACCGAGCCGAACCGCAAAGCTGCTGCCAGGGTGGAGAGTAGTTGTCGCTCCGGTTTAAAACATTCACGGTTCTGTCCCCCTCGGAAAACTTGTGCGTGACAACTTTACACTTCGCTGCAACTCTGTTTCTGATGAAAATAGAAAGTTCTGCTGCCGATATTCTTGCTAACTTAGCGCAGCATGTTGTTGTGATCACGTGAGCGCTATATGCTGGATCCAAGCGCTGCTGATAGAAACACTGGAGCGGAGTCAGTGAACTGCTGGATTGAACTGCTTATATCGGAGCACTAATATCGGACATTTTTTATGCAGGCCGATAAAATCCGATACTCATTTTTTGGCTGATATCGGACCGATATCCGATATCAATATCGGATCGGGACACCCCTACATCTCAATAAGCAAATTGACTTATACGTCAGTCTGCTGTACACAAATATCTGAAACAGAAAGATAATCTACAGTGTCAAACTGTCAGCTTTTATACTGGTCACAGTGGGTAGCTTTTAAATTATAAATCTGGCTGCCTATGTCTGTTCATATTTCACTACCATTAACAAAATATTTCTTGAACCAGTGAACTAACTTACTGAAACTCTCACAACTTAATTCACATCAACTGATTCATTTTTAGAATCAGGCCTATTCAAGGAGGTTACCACGATTGAGTAACTTTAGCAAACACAAAAATGTCTCTAATTCAGTCAAATTTCCAGATACTTACCTAAAGTTTGGTGTGGTAGTACCTAAGAGTSATTTGCAACACGTTCTCTGAGTATGGCATCTTGCCATATTGCMTGAAATAGCAAATAATAGATGTTATTTTTGAGGTTTAAAACTAATGCCTTCACCTCTATTGTTTTTCTAATTCAGACAATCTTGGTCTAAATTATGGCCATAAAAGGGAGCAAGTGACATTCATTCCTTCAAGGAATTTCTTTAATCAAAACAGCTTTTATCATTCTGAGCACATAAAAAGTTAAAAGCTGACAGAAGCACCAAAAACACAAATAAAATATGTAATTCAGAAATGTATCAGAACTATTCATTAACCGTGGCTGTTTGCCTAATCTAGCTTTGCTTTGTATGCAGAAAAAAACACCTGATATATTCTCTTTCCTTTRCCGTGTTTACTCCCAAGGTCAGAAATACTTAAAGTTAGATGTAGAAGAATATTCTCCCTTTCACACACCGTCACAAACAATAAGTCTTCTCAAACACCCAGAGACAAAGTCTCTCTTTGCTCAAACTCTGAGGCAGTCGAGTGACCTTTCCTCCTATGATATGTCAAACTCACCCSAGGGCTTTGTTCTGTCACACCACCTGAGGTCTTTGTGGGGGCAGATTCTCACTCCCCTTGTGTGCTGCATTATGTCTCGCAAAAGATGACACAAAGGTTTCACCCATGGTTTGTTTTTGTGTTGTTTTTTTTCACAGTGTCCTTTGAAAAATTCTTCATGTGTTTTATGTCGTACTCCCGCCATTGAATTTTCTCAAGGAGAGATAGAGAAGGGGGAAAAAAGAAATGATAACTGGAGGGGTATCTTTTAGGGGGAACAAGGCTAAAACAGAAATATAAAGATGGAGAATAGAAAAAGACGAGTGTTGAGTGAATACGTGCAGTGATAGGAGAGGGTAATGGGTAAGATGAGTGAAAAGGGGCAGGTTAAAATCCTTTTTTTATGTTCCCTCTGAGCTCTGACCYCTTCGGGACAAGGAGGACAGCAAACGAAAGGTGCACCTCCAATCTTGTCCAGCCGTCGAGCCATGAAAGGGGACATCAAAGCAAGGGTTAACAAAAAAATAGATGTGACGGCTTTTAAAAAAGAAGAGTATTGCTCAAAACTGGAACGGAGTAGAATTAGAAGAGAAATCAATTTAAGAATGTCCACACCCATTAGACAGTATGGAAATATTGGACACAGTATTGTGACCTGTTTCCTTTCTAAAAAACATAAATATGTCCCACATTACTCAAGGTGGCTTGTCCAAGGACATAGCAACTGAAACGARTGGAGCTGGGATCAGAACCAGCAACCCACCAGTTATAGGATGAACCCCTTCTGTTGCCACTGTTGCCCCACTAGACCTTTATCAAGTAAATTAATTCAGAGGTTCCAAAATATTATCTTAAATAGGAAATAGTCTTAAGAGTTCAACCAATCACATCGAAATGTTACACTTCTCCCTACAGAGGAGAAACTGGTTGTCTTCCAATCCACAAAAAGTGTTTTGATCCTTTTACATGCTTATCAGATTATTAATAAGATTGTAAAAATGAATGTAGATTGCAAGAAAATGTATATGTTAGTAGATGTATGTGTGAAAAACACATGGTAAACTGTTTTGTTGAACTTTGATTAAGTTTAAAAGGCACTACAATGGAGTTACCAAGACTTGACCACTTCTATCTACAGTGGATGCAGGAACTTGGGAGAGTACATCTGATTGGTCAGATACAGTAAATTACTGGCATTCAGGGTATTAATGTGCGACACTTGAAATATCCATAACAGCCTATGATTTAATGCAATTTAAGCAGTCCTTTACAATACCGATGTGGCACAAACTGATACAGCAAATCATTTTTGATACATGGTGTAACGATAAACTGTCTTTTTTTATTTTGTTTTTCCCGCAGACACTTCTTGTTCAAGACGTCGTCAGGGACCACGCCTCTCTTCAGTAGCTCTTCGCCCGGCTACCCCCTGACGTCCGGGACGGTGTATTCTCCGCCCCCTCGCCTGCTACCCAGAAACACTTTCTCTCGCTCAGCGTTCAAGCTCAAGAAGCCGTCCAAATACTGCAGCTGGAAATGTGCCGCAGTGACAGCAATCGCTGCTGCCGCCCTGCTCGCYRTCCTACTGTCCTACTTCATCGGTAAGGAAAAGTGCACACTTAATATTATACATTAAAGGGATCCATGATTCGTTGTAACGTTAGACTTTATTTAATAAACAATATATTTTAACTGTAAAATAAAGACTGTAAAAATACTGTAGGATGTTCAGTTTTAACATTTTTTAACTAAAAGTTTAAAAACACATTACACAGACAGGGCCATTTTATTTACACACAAAGCATTCTGGGTAAATGATGACGTGGATAGGTCCTCGGTGCGAGGCTGCTAGCGAGCTATATCCACCCTGAAGGTTAATCTTGGACAATATCTGATGATCGACTCTTTTAAATGAAACCAGAGAGCGTTGACAGAGAGGAGAAGGTAGAAATGACTCAGCCTGGAACTGAAAATATAGATGGAGGACAACAGAGCTGCTTTATGGAAGAAGAACCTCAGCTTAGCCTGTTAGCTTTATCATTAGCCCCGACGCTATCACCATATATATGTATTAGCTCAGCGCTACACATTCTCCTCACGTCACTGAAGTCCTCCATCCACATGAAAGAGAGGGGAACACAAAAATTACTCAGTCTGCAACTGAAAATATGGATGGAGGACCTCAGTTTAGCTTGTTTGTTGCGCTGAGCTAATACATATAAGGCAATATAGCATTGGCGCTAGCACAAAGGTTAACTGAGGTTCTTCTTCCATGAAGCAGCTCTGTTGTCCTCCATCCATATTTTCAGTTACAGGCTGAGTCATTTCTACCTTCTCCTCTCTGTCAACGCTCGCTGGTTTTATTTAAGAGTCGATCATCAGATATTGTCCAAGATTAACCTTCAGGGTGGATATTGCTCGCTAACACTGAGGACCTATCCACGTCATCATTTACCCAGAATGCTTTGTGTGTAAAAAAAATGGCTCCGTCCGTATTAAAATATATTTTAAAAAATTTACAAAACTAAACAGCCTACAGTATTTTKACAGTCTTTATTTTACAGTTAAAATAAATGTTTATCAAATAAAGTCTAATGTTACAACTAATCAGGGATCGCTTTAAGGACGTCAATGGGGAGGAAAATATATACAAATGGACAAAGGCGCTTGATACRAATGGCCAACAAATTATCAAAATAAATGAAGGACGCCAACCCTTTTTTATGTTTAGCCCAATTTGTGTTGAGCTAACCTGAAASACGTTGCTCTTATTCTTACCTGAAAACCCTAAAAACCTAAAAAAAAAAAAAGTGTGGGGTTAACAGCGTGTGCTTTGTCCCTTTCCACTTGTGCCACTCTGTCAAAATCCGCCTCAGCAGACGCCTCGGCCTCGGTTCACAGCCAGTCAGACACGCAGGAAAATCGGCGCACCGAGGCTGTTCCTCTGAGCAGGTATCAGTCAGAGTGGGAATCCTAACCGAACCCAGCAGGAACGTGGATGTTCTTCACTGATCTGGAGCCAGCGTGCGATAGTCATACTTAAAGAAATGGCAGACGCTCAGAGGAGATTCTGACGGATCCGTGTGAACGAAAAAGTATCGCTCAGAGTGTCTGTGTGTGGGAGTGTGTGGGCATGGATCCTTTTTTTTTTTCTTTCTTTCTTTATGACCTCCTACACTGGTCAAGAAAAAGTAGACTCGTGCTGTTGCATCTGTGTGCGTGCAAGACTGAGACAATAGAGTGAGGAACAGAAAATGTACATCTGAATATGTCTATTTTGGAACACGTTTGTGTGTGTGTGCTTGTGTAGGTGTGAGTGAAAGGAGGCAGATGTGCCTCTGAGCCCCTGATTGGCCTCTTACCCCAGAGACAGGAGTCAACAGATGGGTGGATTTTAGGAATCAGTGGCATCAGCAGAAAGAACAACCCCCTCACTGACTCTGCATKCATTATTAATATCATTTTTTTACATTATTTAGACACGTATTTTTATAAATATATTATACACCACAATCCGTTTTAGTTTATACGTGTGTTGTACTCGCTGCGTTCCGGGATGTGAGCTCCTGGGTGCGCCCGTGTGTGCGCTCGTGTCCACCTTTTGTGTGCCCCCTCACAGTGSCCTTGAGAGCGGTGTGTGTCCTCCAGAGCAGATCAAGGCCCCTTTGCCTGGRGCACACAGACAGATCCGTCCCCTCCTGAGCTTTCCTCGGTCACACTGCACCGGACGGCCACGTGCAGAGCTGCAGAGCAGCAGTGAGGGAGGATAGGAGGAGGGCTGCCTGTAGAAGAGATAACCCCTCGTGCTTAGGTGAAAGGGCTGGTTTGCAGTGGAGCAACTTTTCTCTCTCGCCATAAGGCGATGATGTTTTTGCCCATGTCTGTCAGTGTGTGTCCACATCTCTCTGTTAGTAAAATATCTTAAACAGATTTAATGAAACCTTTAGGAAATAATTTTTGGTTATACCTCTACAACTGATWAACCTTTGAAGCTCACATTAGAAATGACCAATAATTCAGTTTGACAGATATTCTACTAGAATTTGATGTGAAAGCTTAGAATTGTTCAAACCAAACACTGCACGTGACAATCATTTTGTAATTAACCCTGTTTGTCTGTTAGCAAAATATTTTTGTGAAAATTCACAGATTTTAATCACTGAAAGTAATCACTGGCTGTACATCTACAATTGATTACCATTTAGGGGCAATCTGAATCCAAGCGGCTACTACAAATTATCAACATCACCCAACACAAAAACAGTAAAATCTCTGTTAACTTTTTCAGAYGGTTGATGTAAAATTTARCGTGGAAGTAGCTGAGAGTCGTTCTCAGCACAGAACGGGATCGGAACGTCTCACAATATTGCAGTATTTTATTTTCAAGGCTTGACCAAAACTGTTTTAACTCCAGGATTTCTCAACATAAATTTAAACTGAAACTGACATGAAAGGTTGCAAGTGATGTAAAGAAATGCTAGGTCATTAAATTATGTTATGAACAGCRTCATGTTTTGTAATGATATAAAAGATATTTACACCAAAGCCTATATTTTCAATAATTGGTAAAAAAAAAAAAAAAAGATTTAATTAGAGAAAAATTGTGAAATGTGTCTGATTCAGACTAATTGCTGCCTTTACGCTTTTTTCTTTCCTTTTTTTTTTCTTTTTAACACTACATCAGTGCCTGTGCATGCCAGACAAAACATTTTAACYACAGGGCCTGTCTGTCTTAATAATTGGGGGTATTAGCTTGTCAGACAAACTAATAGATTACTTTATTAATAGGTGTATTTATAGCGCAAACAAAACAGCAAAGCACAAATAACGGTACACTGTGGTGTTGCATTTTTAATGGAATTGAGTGGGTCTGATAGTTTCAGCTGCTCTCGCTGTGTATTTTCACTTGTACTGTCTGATAAAGAAAAGTGCTTCACCACCAAACCTAATTGTCCAATTGGCTAGAATTCAGTAAGCAAATCTGAAATGGYGAGGTGTTGTTGTTTTTGATCAATTGGGTTTGTCTGTTGCCAAAATAACTTTTTTCATGAAACTATGAGTTTGGATGTGCATCTACAACTGATTAACTTTTGGAGTCAACTCATTTCAAGATGGCTGCCAGAGCCAACTGATTTTAGACAACACAAACATTGCTATACTTTGCACTGCAAAAACTGTCCATCTTACCAAGTTTTAAACCTTATATCCAGCCCAAAAGTCTTTTTGATCTTGTTTTGAGACTGATTTACTAAACAAGAACTGATTGTGTAAGAATAATAATCTTGTTTTCAGAATGTGTAAGATTATTTGTCTTGTTAGCCTGAAAATTTGACTCAAATTAAGTCAAAAATTTCTGCCAATGCACTAAGAAAATTTTACTTAGTAAGACTCTTGAAATAAGAAAACATTGAGTCAAATCAAGTATTTCAAGAATCTTACCAAGTAAAATTTTCTTACTCCATTGGTAGAAATTTTTGACTTAATTTGAATCAAATTTTCAGCCTAACAAGACAAATAATCTTACACATTCTGAAAACAAGATTATTATTCTTACACAATCAGTTCTTGTTTAGTAAATCAGTCTCAAAACAAGATCAAAAAGATTTTTTGGCTGGATATAAGATTTTAAAACTTGGTTAGGTGGACATTTTTTGCAGTGCAGTAGTGCAAACATGTCCYCAAAACATATTATGAGCAATATTGGATTGCAGAAAATTTTGCCATTAACAATATGAAGTCAACTGTGACGACGTGTTAGCAAAATATCTCATGAACTCTGGGACAGATTTGAATGAAACTATCAGGAATAACTCTAAAACGTTTGGGGACTACCCCATTTACGATGGACATCACAGCTAACTGACCTTAGAAAATGTAAAAATGGTGATAACTTAGCCATTTTTTTATAGATAATGACCTAAATTTTGCTGTGACAGAAGCTTGAAGTCTTTCACAACATATTCTAAACTCTAAATATAACATTAAAAATYCAGTCTAAAATTTTGCCATTCAAAGTAGTGGGTGATTCCATCAAGGACCTTTCATGTATTTATAGTTCTAAGACAGAAAAGCACAACGCACTATATTCTGTTGCATTTTATTAATTTCAGCTTGTGCCTTTGTACATTTTAATTATTATTATTAATTATGTTCCGATAAAGAAACATTCTTCACCAACAAACCTAATTGTCCAAACTGACTAGAATTCAGTCAACAAAGCTGAGATGTTTTGTTTTTGTTGTTATATGTGTGTTTTTTACCTTCAGCTGTGGGGAGATGTTCTGCTCGGGTGTTTCGTCTGTGCTGAACAGAGCTGCAGCGGTGCTGCCAAGCCTGAACCTCTTGTGTTTACCTAGCTTTTTGTAGCGTTAAGCGCGCAGCGAGTTCACCACTCATAGGGGGGATTGTGTTGTACCTTGTTTGCGCGTCGCGCACGTGGCGTGCGCAGGCCCCCGGCAATCGCTGGGGGGGATTGCGCAGAGCAYCCAGAGCCATGCAGCGTGAAGAGGACCCCTCTGAGGCGTCCGCCCAGGAGCCCACTCATAAATTACACCAGGACACATGTGCCTGAGCAGCACTTTTTTTTTTTTTTGTGAGCGCG